AGAAAGACCTCGGCCCAGACGAAAGGAAGATGTTTGTAAGATCCGCCCCAGGCTATGCAGGCCCAGTGCAGACACCTCCCTACCTCTTGGCTAAGTCTCCACCCAGTATCTGTTACCTAGGTAACTGGCACACCTGTAAGCAGTTACTTCCCTCTCCAGTTAGGTTACATCCAGGGCTACCTCTGGAGTGTCCCAGGCCCTGAGGTCACATCCTGAACCAGTGTGGCCACACCTTTTCCCCACCGGGAAACACGTCTTCTGACCCAGGCTTAGATAAGTCTTGGCCTGGGGGTAGTGGCCCCTTTCAGCCTTGCCTTTCCAACATGCACTGCTGGGGCAGCTGTTTGGTAAATAAACATCTTTTCCTTCCGGAATACCGCCTGGTGTTCTCTTAATCAGCTACCTAATGAAACCTACCTGTTTAATATAGCTTACATATGGTGCCATGACTCGGATGGGGTTTTAGAGTTGGAAATGTTAGAATTTCTTGACCACCCATTTTCTGTGAACTGAACTGCCTTTGAGATACCACGTGAGACTTTTCACCAATACTATTGCCGGCCTTCCCATCCGTGTCCACACCACTTCTCTACTCTAGCCCTGGAAACAGGCTCAACCATCTAATGTGCATTGTTAGCAAAGATGTCTAAACATATTGTTGTCAAATATTTTGGATTTTGAGTTTTACCTTTTTTTGTTGTTGTTTGGTGTTGCCTATTTGTGATTCTAAAATACTGGGCAAAATAATGTCATCCCACTGCTGGAATTCCAAGAGTCTGTGGCCGATAGCTTAAAATAGATTAGACTTTGCCAGAGAACAACGCAGACATCCAGGTACAGAAAACAAAGAAAGGTTTATTGCTGGGAAAGGGGGCCTGCAAGACTCCTTCTCACAAGGGAGGAATGAGAAGAAGCACCAGCTATTGTCTGGGGTAACCTATATAACCTAGGGGGTTTAAGAGGGGCTAGAAGGGGTTAGGAGGTAGAGGCTCAGGTAAGGAAATGTGGGCCAGGATTTATGGCTACTATCCAAATAGTAGATAAGGGGTCCTGCAACTGCCCAGACCTGAAGGCTACTTGTTGCCTTGTATGGTAGTAGCTGCCACAGAGCAGTGCCATCCCAAGGTAAAGGTGGTTGGAAGTTGATTATTTACTGCCTTTACTACATGGGCCTAGTGCTGCCTAGGAAGGGGGCATGCTAAGCTGTGGAGAAGGGAAGGAATGGACTAAGCTATGGAAAGGAGCTCATTTCACTAACAATGGCCATTCATTTTTGGGTGCTGTAAAACAATGTGCACTGTGTGTGTGTGTGTGTGTGTGTGTGTGTGTGTGTGTGTGTGCATGCGTGCACCTATGTGTATATATCTGTGTCTGTGTAAAGTTGTTATCTAGCATTATAATCAAGTTATTGGTTTACATGGTCTGAGATTCCTGAGGTTGGTTCAGTTTGGATTCACAATTCAGTGCCAGCCAGTCTATATGTAGTCCAGATCCAGCCCATCTCTTCTAGCCTGGAAGACAGCCTCACTCCTGCCTAGACCCTCCTGACTACCTCCACCATGTACAAGTAGTGTGGAGTCCTGCTTGACTCCATCACAAGCAGCTGATTCCTGGCGAAAGATGGCTTTAGATTTGCAAAAACTAAGACGCTTGTGTGACATTCTTTCTGTAATATTAGATTTGTAAATCTTACCCAGCCTGACCTGGAAAAGGCTGGCTATATTTTTCTAGTGAAACAGATGTAGGCCAGGAGAGCCTCTTGTGAACTTTGGTTAACTTAGGCATCATTAGGGCCATCTGTGCTAAAACTCTCATCACATCCAACGAGTTTGGTCATTGCAGAATATTTGTTGGTCAATTCTTTTTTTTTTTTTTTTTTTTTTGGGTCCGGTCGCGGGGCCTGAACTCTGGGCCTGGGCGCTGTCCCTCAGCTCTTCAGCTCAAGGCTAGCTCTCTACCACTTGAGCCACAGCGCCACTTCCGGCTTTTTTCTTTTTGCTTATGTGATGCTGAGGAATCGAACCCAGGGCCTCAGGCATGCAAGGCAAGCGCTTTACCACTGAGCCAACTTCCCAGCCATTGTTGGTCAATTCTTGATAAGGAGCAGGTAAGCTCTCCTTATTTCTATTTATCTCCTCCTTGCTTTAATTGGAAATAATAAAGGGATTATGGGACTGCTTCCAAGACCTGAGGGGAGGGGCCTTGCTGCATACTAAACCCCACCCTGATGTGTTGACTTACCACAGCTCAAAGCCATGGGGACAGCCAACCACAGGCTGAAACATCTAGGACTGGGAGCTAAACTAAGCTTTTTTTCTTTATAAGTTGATGGTCTTGGGTAATCTGTTACAGTGATGGAAAGCCAACTAGCTCAGCCAGCTTTACTTTATGAGGAGGGTCCTGTGTTCGCCAAGGTACTGTAAGAGCTTCTCTATGGGATACATCCATCTGAGTCAGGGAGAGAGAAATTACTTCAGTAAACATTCCAGTGGCTATCCAAAGCCTTTGTGCAAATCAGACTTATCACCCATGTTAGAGAAGGGCTATTTCCCCACCTGCGCTCAACCTTACAAGTCACAAAGCGAAGTAGATCTTGGAAATAAAAGACACGCTTTGTTTTGCAAACCCATTGTGTTAAATATGAAACCCACTATAAACCATAGAAGATATATCAAACTTTTTACAATAGTTCCCCAAGACTATAAATAAAGTATAAAAATAAAAGGCCTAGTTTTTGCTTTATAACTCTCTTCTTTTTTTTTTTTTTTTTTTGGGGTCCGGTCGTGGGGCCTGAACTCTGGGCCTGGGCGCTGTCCCTCAGCTCTTCAGCTCAAGGCTAGCGCTCTACCACTTGAGCCACAGCGCCACTTCCAGCTTTTTTTCTTTTTGCTTATGTGGTGCTGAGGAATCGAACCCAGGGCCTCAGGTATACAAGGCAAGCGCTCTACCACTGAGCCACCTTCCCAGCCCTGCTTTATAACTCTCTATGTTGCTTAAATTACCATAGCCAGCAGATGTTGCATTATAATTAAATCTTGCCAGAGCAAAACAGAAATCTAGAAACACTACCATAACCACCCAGGTCGTGGTGTCATACGCCACCTAGTGCTCAATGGCTTCTATGTCAGCACAGCAGGACCAGTCCAATTATTTTATTTTTACAGAGTTAAGGATCGAACTCAGGGCATTGTACTTGCTAGGCAAGTACTCTTTCATTGAGCTAAATCCCCAACCACACAAGAAACTTTCTGGAATTATTGAGAACATATTCTTTATACTAAAAGTCAAAGTTACAAGTTATTGTGGTAAATTATGAAAGTTATTGTTTCTGAGTTGGAGACTCACTAGGCTTTTCTTCACAACTCAAATGCATATATGACAGGTGTTCATCTGGATTCTCTTAGAGCCATTGACCCTTCCCAGCTGATAACACTGAATTCTCAAGCCGCTGCCCTCAACTAGGCAGGGAAGAGCTACATCTAGTCACACCTGGGGGTGTCACTCAAGAAGTAAAATATTGGCCTTGCCTTTGTTTCAGCCTCCCCCAAAACACTTCTAACCTAGAGTCCAAGAGTAAGAACTAATTGCTTCTATAAGAAATGAGCCAGACACTTGTGGCTCACACCTGTAATCCTAGCTACTCAGAAGGCTGAGATCTCTCAGCCTCAAGAATTTGAAGCCAGCTAGGAGAGGAAATTTAGTGAGACTTTGATCTCTACTAAACTACAAAAAGAAAAAAAAACTAGAAGTGGACCTGTGACTTAAGTGGTAGAGCACTAGCCTTGATAAGAAAGAAGCTTAGAGACAGTACCCAAGCTCTGAGTTCAAACCCCAGGATTGGCGAAGAGAAAAAAGAAAAAAAAGGGAGGAGGAGAGAGAGAGAGAGAGAGAGAGAGAGAGAGAGAGAGAGAGAGAGAGAGAGAGAGAGAGGTGGGGGGAGGAAGGAAAAAAGGAAGGAAGGAAGGAAGGAAGAAAGGAAGGAAAGAAGGAAGGAAGGAAAGAAGGAAGAAGGAAGGAAAGAAAGGATGGAAAGGAAGAAGGAGGGAGGGAGGAAAGGAGGGAAGGAAGGAGGGAGAATGAGCCTGGCTACAATAGGGCACTGAAATTGATTTCCTAGCCCTCCAGAGACATAGGTCCAAGGATACCACCAGTGAAGAAAACCTGGGCTCAGTAGGTGTCAAGTTCAATACTCTCGAATTCACTTCTACCTTATCTTATCCAGTGGAGATTTGGAGGTAGTAAATTATAAATTAGCTCTGCTTTGTGATGGAACTGAACCAAAAGTGCTCCCCTTGCCTCAACTCAGACTCCTGTAGACAGAGAAATCAGAGGCAGAAGCTGCACACCACCTTCCCAAGAAGGACATGTCAGAGGCCCTTCCATCTCCCAGGTTCCCAGTTAGAGAAATCTGCAGTTTACTTAGTAGAGCTTTTCACAGAGTTTTACTCTGTGCCCTGTTTTGTTTCTTGTTTTGTTCAGTATTGGGGATCAAACCCTGAGCCTTGTGTGCCAATCAAGGGCTCTGTCACCAAGCCACATCCCATTCCATCCTACTAAACTTCTAACGCACAGGAAAGCACGGAGTACAGTCCTGATGAATCTACTAGCCAACCTCAATGCACAGCACCCCGAAGAACACCATGGATTCTACTACTTCAGGCCCTCCCTCACTCTAATTCTCTCCACACTCTTCCTCATTATTTTGAAAGATTCTCAGGTGTGTTATTTTACCTGCAAATAGAACACAACCTATTTCAATAGAACCATGGGCCCATTTTTAAATGCCCAAAGCCTATGAGAAAAGTGCTCCTGTTCCCCAATTCTGTCCAAGACATACACAGTGTCATTGATGACCTGAGCTTCCTCCCCCTCTCCCCATACTACAGGATTGTGGTTTTAAGAGATTAAAACCTCCAACCCCTTGAATAATCCTAAAATATTAGAGGGAGCAATAAGCCCCCAAAGCAAACACACTTCAATTCAGCATGAGAGGAACTCACTTTGGGGAGTCATGTTGGATCTCTCCTCTAAGATTTCTCTGAGATGGATAGAGAAGATGTCCAGGGCATTTCCAAGCTTGGAAGAGGAAAGAGCTCACAGCTGGTCCAGGGCTTTTCTGATCTAGAACAAAACTCCAACCCCTACCCAGTGATATAGGATACTGAATGAATCCCACCTTAGACTCACTTGGGGGAACTCTGCCCACTGACACACCCATCTCCCAGCCCTGCCTTGATCTGCTGGTTTCACTTAAGCAGACCTTTACAAATCCTACCTTCCATGGGCATCCACAACACTAACTCTCTTCAGAATGCTCTCATTGTTAGTGTAATGAGTCCCTTCCTGTAGTTTAGTCCACTCCTTCCCTTCATCCACAGCTTAGCATGCTCCCTTCCTAGGCAGCACTAGGCCTATGTAGTAAAAGCAGTAAATAATCAACTTCCAGCCCCCTTTACCTTGGGATGGCACTTCTCTGGGGCAGCTACCACCCTATAAGGCAATAGGAGCCCCTTAGAGTGACCTTCAGGTCTGGGTAGCTGCAGGATCCCTTATCTACCATTTGGATAGCAGCCATAAATCCTAGTCCACATGATGAAGCCCCTGGCCCGCACTTCCACACCAAGGTCTCTGCCTCCCTTCTAGCCCCTCCTAAACCCCCTAGGTTATATAGGTCACCCCAGACAATAGCCAGTGCTTCTTCTCATTCTTCCCTTGTGAGAAGGAGTCTTGCCAGCCTCCTTTCCCAGCAATAAGCTTTTCTTTGTTCTCTGTACCTGGATGTCTATGTGGTTCTCTGGCAAAGTCTATTAATCTTAATTTTGCTAACAGTGGCGCATTGGCCGGGAACTAGTTCCTCTCTCGGTGAAATTGCTCTTCCTCTCCCTTGGGAATCGTAGCTGTCCCAAGAGGCCTAGTTCCCTCCACTGTCTCTGAGGTAGTCATTCTCTCATTCCTAAATCATGACCCTAGAGGCCTGGACTTTTGCCAGATGGACCCAGCCACTACAAGCCTTCTTCTGCCCCTGAGTGGTCTCCCACATCCAATTCACTAGCCTTCATCTGCAAGGGGTAAGTGGACATGAGATTCCTTTGGTGACCATCTGTCCTTTTCTCAGTCTCACAATGCGGCCGGCAGCTGTGAAACTTGGAAGAAGGCCCACCATGTGGTCTGAGGTCAGGGCTTAGGGGGTTGGATGATGATGCTTCCTCCTTTGCTCTGTGCCCCTTTGTGGGCATACTCTCCCCAAGACGGAACATTCTGGGGATGCCTGGACTGTTTTGGCCTTAGGTTATGTCACCAATGGGAAATCCTCAGTCTAAGATTCCTTCCCACTCCCCTTTGGGATGCATGCTGGCCAAAGTGCTGCCTCAGGACCTGGCTCCTGGCCTCCAGCACCGGACCATTGTGAGACCTGACCAAGAAAGCCCACCACGTGGTCTGAGGTCGGGACTTAAGGGGGTTGGGTGACTCAGTCTCACTGTGCGCCTTTAACCAAGAATGGCCTGATTACGACCTAGGGAGCCAATCCAAATGGCCAGTGGCAGTCTGGATTCCGTCATCATTTGGGATTTATACAAATACTGTGAGCACTCGGGAAAGTGGAGCCAGGTTCCCTTCGTTTGAGCTTTCCTCTACCTCCATTCTCATCCCAAATTCTGTCTTTCCTGCACGCCAGTGCAAGTTATGCTAGCAACTACGCCATGGCTGCTAGAAGGCTTAGAAGCCCTTCTGACCTCTGATCCTGCCAGTGAGCTTTCTCCCCGCTATTGGAACCCGTCCCCTGCTAATCAACCTCGGCCACATTCCACCCTTCCCATACTTCCTTCTGTGGCTCCCAGTGCAAGCCCCCCAATTTCTCCCCCTCCCACTCCTCTACCACCGCTACTGTGGCCCCTTCTCCCTTCCCCCCTCCCTCAACTCCTCCTGCCTTGGCTGGTACCAAGGTCAGGACTGGTACCAACTATGCTGCTCCTCCCCCCTCTCCCTCCTTACCTCCCACCATCTCTAAGGTTACTGGGCCCTCTCCCAGAGTCCCCTCTGATCTCCACATGGGGCTCCTGTGTCCCTCTCCCCTCCCCACCTCTCCATCCCCCACTTTCTTCCCAATCGCTCCTTTCTCACTGGTCCCCTCTTTTTCCCAATCCCTTCTTTCTCTTTCTCTCCAACTCCTCATTCTCCCCCTACTCCTCCAACTCTAGTCCCCCTTCCAACTCCCCCTCCTATCACCCCAGCTCCTCCTCCATCTCCAGCCCCACCCGCCACAGTTCATTCAGCTTTCCCCCAGCCCCTCACACCTTTTCTGCAGCAGTCCCTCCTGGTGGGGATGCCCATACTGCATCTCCTTCCCTTCCTCCCAACTTCTCTGCAGTACCTACTGAACAAATCCCACACCCTTCTCCCAACCTGATCACCACAGCTACACCATTACTCTCTTCATACCCCCCTTTTACCTTCTCCCCCCACCATTATTCCATCTCCCCCTCCTAGTCCACAGGTAACTCACTCTAAAGCACTTAAAACAGCCCAACATGTAGTTCAGATGCTGCCTCTTGGAGAGGTGGCAGGTGCTGAAGGTATCATGAGTTCATGTTCCATTCTCTCTTGGAGATACATCACACATACAACAACGTTTGGGATTGTATACCACCAATCCAGCAACTTTTATTAAATAATTCCAATGTCTTCATCCCTCTTACAGTCTTACCTTACTCGACATCCACTCCATACTAACCTCAGCCCTTCTCGCGGAGGAGCAATGATGGATGAGGGAAAGGGCTCTGGAACATGCTAATGAGACTCATTTGACAGATCCAACCCATCCTATAAGAACAGTGGCAGTCCCAGACATAGACACCCAATGGGACTATAACTCTTCGGCATGCACAGCTGTGAGAAATTGTTTTACTACCTGTCTAGCTTTTGGCCTCTGCAAAGCTAGTTGCAAGGCGGTGAATTATGAAAAACTAACTCAAGTAATTCAGGATAAAAAAGAAAACCCATCTTCTTTTCTTCAGCGCCTCATACAGACTTGTCTCTAGTACACTAACTAGGACCTGGAGACACTTGATGGCCAACAGTTAATAATGACCTATGTTTTCTTCCAATGTTCCCCAGGTATTAGAGCTAAACTTAAAAAGCTGGAAAAGGGACCCCTTGCTCCCCAGGCAGAGGTTCTAGAGGCAGCATTTAAGGTTTACAAATGGGAGAGAGGAGAAATCCTGCCAGAAGCTAGCTCAGGCAATCCACCCACTTGCCTCATCCGGTAACTCTCCCATCAAAGGGCCTGGACCACCAGGATAGTGCCACAGATGTAGCCAGGCTTGCCACTGGGTACGTACATGTCCTGATCTTCAAATACCACCAAAGCCATGTCCTGGGTGGCACAAGAAGAGACACTGCGCAAGGGACTGTCCCAATATCATACAGGGTAATGGGCCATTCACCCCTTCACAGTCCCCTGCTAACCTTATAGGAATGACAACAACAATAATGCAGGCTCTCTCTCCCAGTCCACCCAGCCCATGTGTAACTACCTCCAGACTAAATTCTCCCTCTCAAGGCCAAAATGTCTTCAAACTTTCTCTCTCCCACCCTCCTGGTGATTCTGTGGCTGCCCACTGCCACTGCTACCTCTAACTTCTGAGCCCCGGCCTCTTCCAACTTCTTGGGGATCCCAGGCACCTCTCCTCATTCCAGGCCTCGGCTGCCCCCCTCCTTTCCAAGCCCTTCTATCTCCACTCTACAAACTCCTTCTGCTAACCTCTGTTCCTGCCTCCCTGCCTGCCTCTCTGTGAGGGCATAAGTCTTACATTTCCCAAGCCCCTTCTCTGGCTAACATCGTCTTCCCTTCTAGACCCTAAATGAACAGGCCTCTGCCCTGTCTGTTGTTAATCCATCACTGACAGCACTGGCTGGCTAACACACTGGACCAGCTCCTCTCTTTTATTGCTCTCTCCTTTTCCCCACCCAAAAATGTCTCCTGATTCACTCTTCTTTGGCCACCCCACTTCAGCTCTCCATTGGAGCTCAATGGGTGTGTTGGTATTGTTTTTGTTCTTTCTATCCTCTCTGGCCTATTTCCTAACTGTATTGTGTATCTATGGGCTCCAAGATTCCATCCTTCAAAATGTGGCTTCTCAAAAAGTCCCACCAAAATGCCAAAGCCAAGGAGGGCATCTGGGTTCCTGGTGGATAGCCTTGGGGGACTGGCTGGCCAGGCGATGGAAACCCCTACAGGGGAGGTACACCCCCTGACAAATTTCAGGGCCTTGTGGTCTTTCCACCGCTCTGAGAGCCAGATTATTGATGCTGAACATGCCATCCAAACATCTTTTTGGAGTCACTCAAAAACCTTCCAGAAGTTTGTTTCTTTGTCCGGTTTTATGTTTATCTGTTCAGTCTCCTGTCCAAAACCTGGGGATTGAGCCTTCCATGATGCCATGCCATGTGTCTCTGTTCGTGTGTACTATGTGTCTCTGTGCTCCTGTCCTGTCTCCTGTCTAAGTTTTTTGTGCTTGGAAACATTTAGTTTTTTAACAGGCCACGTGGTTCTATCATAAAATAATCTCCCCCCCCCCAAAAAAAACCCTTAAATAGCCGATATTAAAATCTAAGCACGCTCTATGATTTGTGCACAAACATGTCTGTCTGTCTATATGTACAATATGTACAATGGTCATGGTTTCCAAGTCACCTTGCAAGTATTATGCTTGCTAAAAGATCTTTGTCAGTGGAAGCTGTGATTTAATCTGAATTGCTTTAAAACTCCTAAAACCTGACTATAAGCCAAAGGGGGGAAAAACAGGCAGTTTTTAAAGGTCTTAGGAAAGAAAAAATGGTTTCCTTTGAAATGTAAATTAAATTGACTGTGATTTATGTTATTCCTTATGTCCATCTAAGCTAAAAGTTTAATGTTGTACATCTGATCATGGTTGGTAAAATAGGCTAAGGTTTTGTTTTTCCATCTTCTCTTCTGTGCACGATCATCTCCCTTTAAGATCAAGAGACCGAAT